AGCACAACAGATCCACTGAAGTCTTGGCATCTCCTCCTTTTTCTTAAGAGCTGCTTAAAATAAGCCCATTAGCCCAAAGTTATCAGCAGCACAGAGCTGCTAACTCAGGAGTCACTTCAGCTCCCAGGGAAGGGTAAGAGCATGTTTTTAATTACGGGCAAGCCCATGGACGTTGCAGTGGATAGAGGCACTTGATCCCTCCCAATTCCAGGCACAAAAGCTCCATTCCCCAAATTACTGCTGACTGGCCTGGATTGGGTTTTATTGCAGACAAGCAAGCCAATTCTTTGAGGGTGAGGTTAATTCAAGCAGCCCCATGTAGAGCTTTATCCTGCAAATGGTTAAATGCTTAACCATGTCTGCAAAAAGTAGTCAAGTGCAAAGCTGCCTTCCTAAGGGTTTGTGAGCCCCCTTTTCTCCCCTAGTTTCTCCAGTATTTTTCCATGGTGGAAAAAAAATGTAAAGGTGATGAACCTGACAATGGCTAGTCCTGTTTTCCTTTTAAATATAAAGCCAAACTCAAGCTGTTTAAGATTGTGCTGTCTTCATTTACAGAATTAATTCACACATCAAGATTCTATTAATTGGAGGAAACAGCAGATTTTTCCTAAAGTGGCAAACCTTACAATAAATAAATTTCAAAATATTAAAATTTAAAAGTGTGCTCCTGTTGCCTGGACAGGAGCAACAAACCCTTGGAAAACCCATGTGCACACTAGGAAACAAATCAGTGCATTAAACATGTTATCCAAAACTCCTGGGCTTTCTTAGATGCTGGTTAAGGAATACAAATTCCACAACTTTAAGCAGGAAAAAGGAATAGATATTTTTATTTAAAACAGAGTAACTAAAAGTGGCCATAATAAACCATTTGTGTTGCTTTTGTACTTGGGTAATGAATGACTGTAGTATAAAGTGCTCCTAGTTTTTGCCTCGAGGTCTTGTCAATCATTACCTGATAAATAAAAACTTCAAACAGGCTCCTTTTAACTTAATTGGGCAAAATTTCTCTCTGAAGGAAAGGCTGAATACAGAGAATAATGTGTTTGTGGCAGCAATGGAAGTCAGCAAGCAGGGTATTTGGATGGAAGCATAGAGAAGATGCAAATTCTGAACTCAAAAGGGGAGTCTTTGGGGGTTTTTATCTGTTCCCATTGCAGGCAGAGCTGCAAGGACTGAATCCAGCAGCAAAGGAAATCCCCCAGCCCTTGGCCTTGCTGCTGAGCTGTGCTTGCCCGAGTTCTGCCCTCCCTCTCTGGTTTTAGGCGTTACAGCTGACACTTCCATAACAATCAGAAATCTTAAAATTACACTAAGCCTTATTTAAATCATTATTTTTTATTATACGACCATTGGCAGCAATGGAGGCAGTTCCCTGCGTGGGGACAAAAGGGTCCTATTGTCACTACTGGAACAGATCTGAAACAGCTCAATTAAGCAAACATAACATCCTCAAAGTCTGGCCTGAAAGGAAGTTAAAATAACTGATCTATAAAATGTTTTAAATGTGCTTTAAAATGTCATTACTCAGATAAATTTAGCTGTTTTGAAGCTCGTTCACTAGAGTTTTATGGCCCTGCCAGTTTATGGCAGCGCACGTATTGATGTCAAGAATTCCTCTTCCAGAACAGTAGATGAGGAGACAAAGCCACGGGAGTGCTGCAGACCAAGGGGAGGCTGCAGCCGGCTTGGGAACAGAGTTTTGGCTCCCAGGCTGGGAAAGCTGCTCCAAAGCACATCCAGCAAGTTGTGTGTATTTGTGGCAGAGCTGGAAACCAACTGATATTTCATGATATAAGGCTGGACGTGTTGAAGTTAGTGGTAAAGCTGCTGTTGGCTGCAAGACTGGCCCTGCAAAGCAGCATGATTGATTTCTTTTATTTTTCCTCCCCTTTCTGGCACTCCCCTTGACTTACACTGGATCTAAATGCAGAGAATTGGGACCATAATGAGAAATACCAGAGGATCCTTTTTCTAAAATTAGTCCAGGCCTACAGAAGCCGAGGAGGTATTGGTTTAGCTCAGTAAAGGTCTTTCCACTGATGCTTTGCTGGACTTCCAAGCAGTGCACAAAGCAAATTTATTTATGAATTTGTAATTGCTTGTGGAAGATGGCAAATTAACTCCAAAATGCTGATGATTTAATCTTCTGGTTCAGCAAATACATCTACATAAACTGGCACTACTCTGCTCGCAGCTCAAAGTAAACAAGAACCCCAAAATTGCTGTTATGCCCCGAAGATATAAAGTTTAGTTAATAAGAGGGATTTAGCCCGTTATTTTTTTCAGCTGCCTCCATAGCAATGCAGTGTGGTATCCACAGTAGGAAACCTCATGCCAGCAGCATCTCTGAAATATGCTAAAACAATCTAAATTAGAAAATGTCAGCTTCTTGGCTGATGTTTCTTTGGAGTTTCTTTCTTCCTTTCTTGTGCCTCTATAATTTTATTGGGATGACTAAATCTCTGAACTATGTTAGCAGTAAACAGAACTAATTTACCCCCTGCTTCTTTGAAACAGCTGCTGACAGCTGCACTATAATTCAATCATGGATCTTTGCAGTGCAGACTGCAAAACACATTCATATTTTTTGTATTCTTCCCTCCCTGTTGTATTTGGACCAAAGGAGTTGCACCAAATAGCAACATGTGCTGGGTTTGCCCGTACATAGAGATTGAGCTACATGAAAACAGAGGCTCAAGATGAAATACTGTCCAGCCAAAAAGGTTCTTTGAATATCAGGAGAATAACCACACAGATACACAATGTCGTCGGGATATCTTTTGTAAAGTTGCAATGATTTATTTTACTAGTTTGTACAAAAAGGCTTCTGACAACTGCTCTAAGAAAAGAACCAGAAATGTGTATGCATTTTTGCCAACTGTTAATAAATATCTTCTTAAATAAGGAAACAAATGTGTTTAGGAACTGAGAATCATCTTTCCTGGATGTGATTGAAAAGGAATTCAGAGATGGAAATAAATAATTCTTCTTCCGCCTGTGACAACTATTTACATAAAAATGTACAAACAGTGAAGCTGATGTTGAGCCTAGCAACAGAAATCTTGTTATTATGTGTAAAAACAACAACAAAAAAACCAAAACAGAAACAATCCCCACATAATATTTAATATATGAATCCTATACAGCAAGATACTGTGGTCCAAGTTAAAAATGCAATACACCAACACAGTGACCACCAACACTGAAACACCCAAAAGAAACAACTACTCCTTGACTACTAAATAGTGGAAGTTTAGGCATGATCAGCTTTTAATTTTCTAGGCAGCACCTTCACTTCCTTTAGGAGGTTTACAGAAGCACTGGTGTATATACGTATGCAATGTCAAAAGATGCTTCCCATCAATGTGATTTCAATTCCCCAGCCTAAATAAGTGATGCACTGAGGGCAGTTTTGGCTGTTTATCAGGACATGGTCATGTCTGCAGGCTCCAGGAGAGATGGTCTTTTGGCTTCAGCTGTTGTCCTGCTGTGGGGCTGCCTGTAACTCTTTGGCCAAGGTCTCACCTTGGGTAGTTTACAGGAGTCCTGCCAGTGGAACGTGCCTGCTGCAGCCAGGTTGGTCCTGCAGAGGCTGGAGTTGCCCGGGTTGGATGCCAGGCACATCTGTCAACGTAGCAACTGCTCACCAAGGCCCCTCTCCAAAACCTACCGACGTCATGGGGGGACTTCCACGTTCCCATCAGCCTAACCCTGCTACTGAGAAAACTGCTGGGAAAACACCAATTGACTTGGATGAGATTAGAATTAGACCATCATAAACAAGTTTCCAATTTATTTCATAGACAGTAGGAGTTTTTTTAGTTCCTTTGCTTATTCTTTTTAAAGTGAGGCATCTGGTCTGGATTTGATCTGTGACTTTAAAGGGAGAAGAGCAGTGAGTGATGTCCCGAATGGGGTGGTTGTGTTCATTTATCTTCTTTCTCTAACTCTCCTCTAAGGCAAAATATGGAGCCAAGTTCCCACTGCAGCTACATTGCTGAGCAGAGACCCATCTCCAGGGATTTATTATGTCCTGGACCCATCTGTTGGAGGTTTAGGTTTTTGAAGTTTGGAGATTTAGAGCTGGGTGTGCTGTGGACCTGTTGTTTTATTGGGCAGAATTTTCTTTTTATCCTCATGGTGAAATTTATGCCAGTCCTCCTTTGGTAACCAGCACATGCCAAAGTGGGGAATTGGTTTGTGATTGGTTGCTGCAACTTTGTATTCTTCTTTGCAATAACTTTAATAGAGTTTTAATTACTTAAGTGTGATGTTTGTGTAACCTGTGACTTTTAAAGAAGGAAAAACAAGAGCCTTGAGGGGACATTTTCTTGCTTCTGGTTTCAGCTTTTTGGGGGCTCTTGAAAGGGATTTTTTTGGTGGGTTTTTTTTGAGGAGAAGCCAACAGAGCAGAGGGTTTATCAGAAGCACTGCCCCTGGGAAGGAAGGCTTCCCAGCTTGTTTCTAGTCTGTATGGTACTGGGTGTATGCCCCAGCTTACAGCACCTTCTGCACTTGAGCCTTCATGTTCTCCAAAAAGTGCTGGAACTTGTTCCCCCAGTGAAGTCAATGGACATTTTCCAAACAGCAGTGGGATCTTTAGCTGGAGTACACAGCTCCATAACTGCTTAGGATACCCCAGCTAAAAGTTAGGTTAATCTCTGTTTCTCAGCATTTTGCTGCTTCGTGTTACAAATTTATAGCAAATTCAAATACTTTCTGGTTGCAAGAGGAAATTTCCTTCCCTGTTGATAGTAAAAGTATGCCCCGGAAGTCTTGCTCTTTGGAATTATTTCCTTCAGTTCTTTTGCTTGCCAATTAATTATTATTTTCTTAGCCTGGTCCATGCTTTGAATTTGTGTAAATCCACATCCAGCTTTTGCTACTGTATTTTAAAACTGGAAGTTGCACGTAATTATCTTTGGTTTTGCTCATGAAATTGAAGCAGAGGGATGGAAGTAATAATTCTCTAACAAAATACCTGTTCACTCCAGGTATATTTTGTTCAGTTATTTTATTGCAAACTGTGTTACAGGAACTACACACACTTATTAGTCACAGCACAGTCTCACCTCAGATAGATTATTACTGTTTAACTCACAATCAACACTGGTGAGTTTGCAATCTTCAGAAAGACTCATCTGCAAAAGTATGTATTGTAGGAGCCAATTTTGTAGGCAGATTAGGTTTTAAACAGTTTCTCTGGCTTGTTTCAGTTTACAAGCTCATTGTCTGCAATAAACTAAAACAAAATGTGTTCAAATGCCACTTTAGATCCAGAAACTGTTCCATTGTCTGATCTTTCAGAGGCCTGGTCCTAAAAACTGTTTGGGATTTTTTTTAAACCCATGGCTGGAGCGCTAAAATGTTCCCCTCCCCCACATAGCCATACAAACCCACTCTTTACAAATAACTTTTTTCTTCCTTCTTTTTCTTTCCTACAAGTCTAATGACAGCCACATGCCCGTACCACCATGTTCCTGTATTTTTTTAAGATAACATTGGAGCTGTCATCAAAGTAGAGCACTGAGATGGCATTGAGTTGTGTAGGAGCACAGCAGGGTTTCGGCACAGTCTCTGGGTTTATAAAGTGAACCTGGGGAATGAAAGTAGAGGCATGTTAGGATTTACTTCTCCCCTCTCCTCCCTCAAGTTTTTCTTTCCCAGAAAACCTTCTGTCTGTCCCACCCCCTCACTCGGACATGTTTGGAGCACCTGGCTTTGTGTACAAACATCTTGAGATGTCCCCTGCGTGTGCGGGGGCTGACGCACGCGCCCAAGGCCGATCTAGTTGGAAATCTTTCAGTGAGGCAGGTTTTCATTAGAAAACTCCCATTTGTCAGAGCAGTCAGTGTGTTCTGCAGTGGGTACCAGTCACGATAAACTCTGTGGGATGTGTGGGTGAGGTTTTGTTAAAAATCCTTTCAGCCCTGGACAGGGGACCCTGTCCCCGTGCCCAGCAGCACCAACACCCAGTGGGGGCCAAGGGATCCAGGTCCCCTGTGCTCCAAGATGTGGGACCTCCAAGGTGAAGGGGGTAAAAGGCAAATAAAGACAATCTACCAGGAGAAAAACATGTAGATATTTCATCCCTTGGAAACAGTTGCTTCTAGTTTTCCTAATATTTTTTTGCAATGTTGTCTTTAGATATGCACAGGACATGGGATATCGGTGAGAAGGTACAGTGAGCCTCTTTGTGCCCTGCAGATGTGTGCAGGAGTCCTGGAGCCCAGCTGGGTAGGGGAAGGTGTCCAGGCAGGCAAGTCAGCTGGGGGTGCAGTGGCTTTGGTGACACAGCTGGGCTGGGTAGCCCCAGCCAACAGTCCCCCCAAACACAGGTGCTGTGTCACGAGCTCAGGGCTCCCATCTGGACAACTTTGCACAACTTCATAAAGTAAATACACAGCCCAGCTGCTCTGTGCATGTAACTCTGGGATTCATTGACCCCTTCCTCAGTCTGCCCCCAAATCCACATTCAGTGGATCCTTACAGAGCTCTTCCAAGGGATGCTGATAGTGGGTCTCACACCTTGCTCTTTCATTTGCATGCAGTGGGACTAAACCCCCATCATGATGTCTATCATAGGGCCCTTTCAAAGTAGAGAGAGCATGTCAATGCTTGCAGCAAAGACAGGGTAATTTTTAGCCAACTATTAATTCAGGCCACTTGGCCAGACATGTTGAGCAGATTCTGCAGGCATCGTATGAGCTAACGCACACCTTCCTTCTTAGGTCTTAGAGCCTCTTTTGTGTACAAACTTCTTTCTGAGCAGCACCTATCAGATATAACCCTGTACCAGGAGCTACAGTGCACCTACCAGTGTCTGTACAATGGCATGGTTTGTAGCATTCATGTATGAGTTCAACGGGAAAGCACATTCTCCTTCACAGTAATAGGCAGCGTAGCCCTCCGGAGCGATGATCCAGTCCTTGAGTAAATTGAAGCCATTAGATTGTGGAGAAAGACAGAAATACTGTGCAGTGAAACAAAAAGCCAACCAGCACATAAACCTATCCATTCATACATCCATGTACAGTTGCAGTGGCCTGCAAAATAAATATCTGGCACACTGGCTTTTTTAATGCTCTCTTATAGCCCTCTAAAGCAGCTGCTTTTCCTGGAGGGACACATTCTACTTTGCAAATGTGCCCATATTGTAGCTGAACATCTGGGTTTAGTTGTTTATCCATTCAGCAGTGTCCTCCTGGCTGTCCACAAGGATCACTTCACCCAGCACTACAACACAGATACAAGCTTTCAGAAAGGAATATGTGTTTATCTAGGTCTAAAAGAACAGGTAGCTGAAAAAAGAGAGCCTTCAGCAATGCCAGGGCCACAGTTCCTCAGAAAGACCTAAGGGTCTTTGAGTTTCCAGCCAACCTCATGCTAAATATTTGTATACACAACTTAGCAGAAGCACTGAAGCGTGCTAAAGGCAATATACAATTTTTTCACCCTGAGAATTATAAAAAAAATCCAGTTATTGGCTTGATCTCACTACTCAGCTGGATAAGTGATGTGCAGAGGCACCCCAGTGACACACAGCCCTTACCTGCCACCCCAGGTCCCTGAAGCTGACGTAGAGCTCGTGCTTCTTGCAGGCCTGTCTCTGGTCACTGCTGCTGTTCTCTGCATGGGGAGAATGGGTGGCCATGAGCTTGGGCTGCCCCAGCACCCACAGCCCCCAGCAGGGAGTGAGGCATTGCTGCTCATCTCTTGCACATGGGGCGCCTTTTTAACCATTTCAATTTTAGTCATAAAATAATGGCAGCATTTAACTCATATGAAATGCCCTTCTGGCTTCTTGTGTAAAGCCAGAAAAGGTCTGGGAAAATAGCTATTTTCTTTTTCCTTTTTATTTTTTTCCCCTGACCTCCTAGTAGCAACACACAGATCTCTCTGATTATAGTCTACGACACAGAAGGACAACCTATGAAAAGAGTGATAGGGAAAGGCACCCTTTACCTATTTTCTAAATTCCTGTCTTTGAATCACTGCTGATAGTTGCACCTTCAGGTCTAAAAAAGCAACATGGGATATTAAAGTAGTGTAGAATCTGCTTTTCTGTCCAGTGCAGCTGGATCCAGACTACAGACTCCTTGCAATGGCTGATAATGATGAACCAATGAATAAAATCTCAATCATGGAACTGAACAACCATAACTCTTCATGCAGTTTTGAAACCGTGTGCCCATCCTGGACATGTAGCCTGAGCTGGAGATCCAAGTAGAAGTACCACAAAGAATGGCTTGAGCAGAGTTTTTTCATGGAAAGGCTTGTCAGGCGTTGGAACAGGATGCCCAGGAATGTGGTGGAGTCACCACCCCTGGAGGAATTTGGCACTTAGTGCCATGGTCTAGTTGTGAGGTGGTGATTGCTCAAAGGTTGGACTCGATGATCTTGGAGGTCCTTTCCAGCCTTAATGATTCTGTGATTCTATAAAAATATGACTTCAACTCTTGTTGTTGGAAGCTGTGTTTTCCTTTTTCTCCTGCCTCCCACAAGCTCTCCTTCCATTCAGTGAGGCTCTCACAGAAACAGAGCTGGAATTTGCTGCTGCCTCTGCAGAGTGAGCCCTGTGCTGTGGCTCCTGCTGGGACCATCACCAAGGGCCTGTTACTCTGAGGTATCACATAATTAAGCCACATTTCTATTTCAAATGCCTGATGGAGTTTTCTTCCATATTAGGAAGCAGAGCTCCCCCCAGAATAGCTGTGGTTATCCTAAGAAAGAATAGGTTTTCCTCTTCCATGCAAGACTTTTGGGACTACTACACTCTTTGGGGGCTAAACTTAAAATCATAAACTCTGAATATGGACAGCCTTTGGATTCAGACCCTCTGAAATATTGTTTTCATGACTTACTCATTTCTTTAATGTAATTATCTTCTATTTCAAAATGAGAATTTATTTCATGTGGGAGCAACAGAGTTCTTCTGGTTAGGTGGGTTTTTTTTCATTTGGATTAAGAAATCCCACAGTTTAACGTTGCACCAACGAAACATTCTTTTTCTAACTTTTTTGAAATAATCCCTAATCCCACGTACTTTCAAACCAACACTTGAACACTACTGGTGGACCAAAGGGGCAACAAGCAGATGTCGTGGGAGAAACCGTTCCCACGTTATCCCAAACCCAGAAACACGGACCCAGCAACCCCCAGCGTACCTGCAATGTTTGACACCCGGAAAGCTTCCTGGTTCTTTGGCGTTTTGGATCGATTCTGGCTCCTCTGCTTCCCTCCCGTGGAGCGAATACTGCGGAGATGGACCTCGGTGGCTTTGAAGAAGGCGACAGTGAAGGGCTGCTTGTTCTGAGGGCCGTGCCTTCCGATGAGACCCGCCAGCTTGGGGTTGATGCTTTGCCCTTGAAGCAGAACAGACTGATAAGAGGGGCTGCAGCAGCTTTTCCAGCACGGTCAGGATAACAAGGAGGAGAGCTGCTGGCTGCTAAGGGTGATTCCTGTAGGCATCGATCCACCAAGGACCTGGACTTAAATGGCAAAGCTGCTTCTGACAAGAGCAGCTCTGCACAGCTAAACTTCATTTTATATCTGTGTGTAAAAGTTACATAAAATAGCCCTATATATAATTATTTTACCCTAAATCCGCTTAGCATTAACTTTTCCTGCATTCTTTAGAGGGGTTTCTTTAAGTTCACCAACCTATAATTTGAAGTGATCCTATAAAAGGAACCATAAAACTCAGCCCATAGGAACACTAAATTCCCACTGGAAGGTTATTAACTTAAAATAAAAATGCCTTGTATGGAATGCTGACAGAGTTCCAGATATACCTTAGTTGAAAAAAATCAAATGTTTAGAGACATTTTGCTTATTGCTGCATCTTGGCACTACCATATCTGATTGCTTTGTTGCAAAACTGCTGGTTACCATCCACGTGTCCTTCATCTTGGGCTTTAAAATAATTTGATTTTTGGTAAAAGACAATTAGGTGGTTTCTCTGTAGAATTAATTATTTACAAAAAAGGCAAGGAGGTGGTGGCAGTGGGAAATTTAATATTTCCCCCTGTTGCCTCCAAAGGATGTCTGGGTGCTGCTGTGAAATGCAGGAATGATATCCAGGATTATTCTGTTCCAAGCTACTGAGTGCTGCTGCTAAATCCAAGTTATGTTAATGGCTTTTGTGATCCTTTGCTGAGGACAGAGCTGGGCCTTGTCAGCCACAAATCAAATGTGCCAAAGGACAGCTGACACTTTCCTGGAGAAGCCCTGCAAGGCAGCCTGGCTGGGGAGAGCAGGAAATGGGCTCTCAGTCCACTGACAGAAATATCCTTACTCTACTAGTTTCTGACTAATGTGTGAAAAGAAGCTGGTAACCTAAAATATTTCTCGGTGATATTCTATAGCTGCTCTTTTTAAGATGAGTAAAGTAAATGTCAAGGCTTATAAATTATTGTCTTTATGGCACTGTTTTTGTTTTTCCTCTTGGATCTGTCCAAAAGATTGGTAAATATGACAGACCCAGAAAAGGGGGCTCTAGTCAAAGCTCAAGGCCAAGAATGGACCAGCCTTGACTGCAGCCTATTTTATGTTTTTCTAAAACCATGAGGAAGTTCCAAGATCAGTAGATGGGATTTGTGAGGAGGGCTGGATCAAGAGGTGTTTAACAGGACCCTGGCAGCAGGAAAACTGCCTGGCATGGCCAGGCCTCACAAGCAAGATATGGCAAAACTAATCTGAGGGCAGGGCAGCAGGAGAGCTTCGGTGAAAAGAGGAAATACAGAAACTCCTGGCCGTAGAATTATATGTGGACACTCATCAGCAACTCCTTCACCTTCTGCTTAAGCTTCTTTCTGGAAACTTGTCCAAATAGTTTTCATTTTAAACATTTGTGGCTGAGCCCACAAAGTGCTTAAGCAAGCAGCCAATGTTAAATATATAAGTAGTTCCACTTGTGCTCAGGCTTTGCCAGATCTGAGCCTTATTTCCTGAAAACAAGCTCACCTGCAGGCATTAGAGCTCACTGAATGCTGCCCCTTCAAATGAGCCTTTCTGCTTCCCAAAGCTGTTTAAACTAGCCCACAGCTGTGGCTTTTCCAGTGTAAATTATTTTACCTTTCCCATGTCTCTGAATAGAGCAGCAGTATGCATGAGGGGACCCAGCTTCATCCTGATGTTTAATGGATTTGCACTAGAGCAGCAATAAGTGTCATTTGACCAGTAAAATACCAGTGTAACAGCAACACATCACATTCAAGGCCAGTATGGTGGCAGTGTTGCCTTAGGGGGAAAACAAGGTAATGCTCTGTTTGTGAAGTAGTATATTTCTTTTTAATTGAGTTGGGGAAAATGCTCTTTCTACCTTTCCTACCCACCCAGAAAGCAAGGTTAAACACAAGGACATGTGTGTAATCACCATTAGACAATGAAAAACTTGTCCCACAAAAGCAGTAGCTGTGCTCATGAACCAGAGGGCACAGCTTCATCTGCTCTTCTGAAGGTGATTTTTTAATACTGTCAAAAATGGGATCCTAAGTACCAAACCAAGTAAACCCAATCCATGTGCTGCTGCTGAGAGGGGCCCTGTGGGTGCTGGGCTGAAGGCTACTGAGTCACTCAAGCATTTCTTCTGCTGTAGCTGTTCCCTGGTCTCAGGAATAAACAAAACCTCTTTGATTCTACCCTTATACACGTTGATAGACTTATTTGGCAAGATTATAAAGAAATACAAAGATCAGTTAAATTTGCTTATTTTGTATCAGTTCATCTGGACAGTGCTTGTGATGTCAGATTTTTTTTAAAATAACTGTATTTGCTTCGTGATTACAGAACTCTATCTGTAACAACAGATACAAAGAAAAGTTGGGTTTGGTTGTGTTTTGTTTTTCTAATTCACTTAAAGCCTTGGGGATTGCCCAAGCATATAGTGTTGCATCAAAATCCTGCTGTGTTTGCAGCATATGATTTTCGTATGAAGTCCAGGTGTTAAAAGCAGCTTTTTTGTTAGTGCACACAATTGGTCTAAATCCAAAATGAAACTTGGGGAGCAAGGAAGGACATGTCCTTGCCATTCAAAATAGAAAGAAAAATTCATGTGTATGGAGGAGAAATGTGAGTGCAAAGGTGTGCTGCCAAGGAAATTAGTTACAGAAGACAAGCAGACAATCGGGTCCTGTATCTCTGTATTTACTTACTAAACACTGCAGTTGGATTTTCTAATTTTTAATGACAGGCTGATTAAAGTATTTTGTTAATCTGTTTGGAGAAAGCACCAAGTTACTTTGCAAAGTGTTTGAAAAGGGGTTAAACTTGGCTGTCATTTTGCTTTACTGTTCTAACTTTAAGAGTTAAGATTAACTCGTATATCAGGTTGAATTTGACTCTTTATACAAAGATGTCTTTAGGGTGGGGACCACTAACTTCCATGGTGTGAGGCTCCTTCTTTGTGTTTGGGTTTCTGCGTTCACCGATCACTCAGAAAGGGCAGGTTAGAACAAACCCTGTGCACTTCTCTGTGCAGGTCTCACATGAGTTAAATCACCCTGTCATGTAAATGACTCTTTGTAGGTTGCCTGTTTCAAAACTACTTTGCACAGTCTTTATGCAAAATGCTACTTACTGGAAACATGGAGAGTGTTGCATAAAAGCCAAGAGCAAGTGATATCATAGACACAGTTGGCGGAGAATGAAATTATGTCCTTAGATAACTACATCTGGAGTATTTATAATTTTGAGCTGGTTTTTGCTCAACCATTCCTGTGGGGCAGCCAGGCAGTTCCACGTGGTCCCAGGTCCTGGGAACCCCCAAGAAGATCCAGGATACTTTGGTTTCCTTGCACAAGTCTCCAAGTGAGCATGAGGGATCTTAATGTTAAGACAAAGTAGCGTGACTTTTTAGTTAAGACCTGATTAGGAAAACTACCCAGCTGATTCTAAACACATCCTTTCTGGAGATGTTTCAGAGCCAGGTCTTCCCACTCATTCCCAAACCTCACAGATTTGTACCATACACTGCAGACCTTGGAATCCAGACCATGTGTGACTTTACCAGTAAGTTCTGCTGCCACAAAGGAAATTAAAATGGTTCCTAGCTGTCTTCTGAATTTGAAAGGCCTTCTGTGCCAACTGACAGCAGCCTTCTACATCACTCAGTTGTGTCTTCTTGCACATAGCAAAATTTATTCCTCTCTCCTTGACTGGATTGCACTACCTGCAAATTAGCCAAGCAGCATATTCTTACCTTGATGGGGATGTGTACACAGCTAATACTGGAATTACTGCAGGCAGGTCACCAATCTGTTACAGCATCTGAGTACATCCTTAACCTCAAATATGTCTAGGGGCTATTTTTATAATACTACTATTATTTCCACCTTAGGCAAATTCAGGAAAAACATGCTTAAGAAATCCTGTTCAGAGGAAAGAGTGATGAATGCTTAGGGCTTCCCCTGGCTGGGACTCAGGTACCTGAGACAGAGGCTCACTGATTGCAGTTGGTGTCTGATGTCTGACACTCACCATCAGTGCCTTCCACGGAGAGCTGTAGGCCAAGGTTGTGTTGGGGATTCACCACCCAGTGATTGCTGGTTGCAGTAATGTCAAACACCAGCCACCCTTCCTCTGCAGCCCAGATCGTTCGAGAGTCGAGCAGGAACAAATCTGAATCCCTGAAAAAAAAGAAGCATAATTCCCATTTACCCAGGCTTTCCACTGGAGTCTCTTTAGGCAGTGTCCTGGGTCAGCCTTTCAGTGATATCTTCCCTTCAGATGAAGCTTCTCTTCTCTTCTCTTCAAAAAAGGGAGAATGGCTTGAAGCAGATTTGAGGTGGTTTTGGGTTACTTTGCTGTTACAGTTACCCTTAGAGCTCCTGATGCAGCTTCAGAAAAAAGGCTTGCCAGGCACAGATCTGCAAAATTACTGTTTGCATATGTAAACAAGGTAATTGGGCAGACAATGCTGCTCATTAGCCTTTCCACACATAATTTCCTGACTTTTATGCATAATTGTAGCACTGGTGCAAGCCAGCTGGAACACTGGTGTGCATATATTAACATAGGTAATGGTTTTTTAAATTTGTTTGTCTGAGGTTACAGATAACTGATTGAGACTTTGCTGCACTGCTGTGGGTCACAACTTTCTTTCAATTCATGGCTTGTTTTTTTTAAAGATCACTGTTCAGTTACTTCAGGTAAAGAATTAATACCAGAAAATAAGAAAGATCTGCAATAGAGAGGATTCTGTGCATTTGAAGGGTGAAATCAATCTGGATTTACAAAATGTTTCCTGGCAAATTTTTGAAAAATAAGAACTAGAAGAAGACAGGTTCTGTAAGGGAAAGAATGTGTTATCAGAAATCAAGAAAGAGATAAAACTTGGATGAAAAAAATGGATAGTGGTGCAGTTCCTTCATAAAAAAGACTTTACAAGAAGAACAAAGGCACATGGTGGAAATGTCTAGACAAGCCCTGTAAGAGCTGCTTTTGTACCTACGGTGCAAAAACATGGTAACTTGTTAAAGTGTAATTATATCCTTTTGAATGAAGAACTATCTTTGGAAAACCCTTTAATCATGTCCTCAAAGCTTAAAGAAAGCCTTATGAATTTTGTCACTACAGATTTGTCAGTGCAAATATATATATTTAGCTTAGTTTACACAGTGCCTCTTCTTTGCACAGAATATCAAGTGATCAGAAATGAATCTGAGAAGTATTTGAGGTATAGCTTTTAGTGATTCTTTTCCCTGTGAGATACCAAGAAATTAGAGGCTTTTGTCCCACACAAAACAGAAATGGAGGGGGTTTTGTAATGCTTTTACTGTCTAGCTTTGCTTTCAACCTTTGTGAGCCAGAGAATATGAGAGATGATGCATTTCATCCGTGAGCTAATGGGTGTCACTGCCTCTGACTCTGTGATGGCTTAAATGAAGTTAAATTTCTGAAATTGGTTCCTGCAGAGCACCTGAGCATATGGCCTGTGGTGTGTAAGAGGACTCTGAGTTTCCTCCCTAAAGCAGGATCCCTTTGGATACCACACGGCTGAATGTGCAGATCCAGCCAGTGCTGCTCAGGGTGCAATTAGTGCTTTCTTTTAAGCAAAGTTTTGGGTTGTGGGAGAAGCCCTTCATCAGAATTGAACTTGCTGCAACACTTCCTTGCTACCGAAAGGGGATCCTGTGGGGAGTGTTTGGGCAGCCCAGGTGGATGGCTCAGGAAGGGGCTGTGGTGCAGTGATGGAGAGGCTCAATGCAGCTGCTCTTCAGAGTTCAATCAGCTTTACTGGGTGCCCTTAGGAAAACTGAAGTTAAATAATACTGATAACCCCCTCTCTCCATAGACACATTAGTTACAGGAGTACAAGATGCTTGAACTCCAACGGGGTGACAAACTTCCTGGGGTTTCATCCCCACCCAGGAGCAATGGCCCTGTTCCCACAGCGCATGACACAGCAGTGTGGACATCTCCCACCCTTCCCTGTTTACAACACACTGAACAACACACATCCCAGAGGAGCCAGGGATGAGGGAGTAGTATGGATTGGCCCGTTCCAATGGCTGAGGCCAAGTTTCCAGAAGTAAAGAGTTTTTATATTCACGTACTGCACTATTTAAGCATGGCCCCCAAATGGAAGTCATGATTCACACAAGGTTTGGTTCATAGGGACTTGGCTTGCTTGGTTTTCCCCCTTGTAGTCTGCAGGTTGATGATACTAGCAATAATGATAGTTTTTTTGTTTTTAGCTACTGCTCAACTGCAGTATTATTACTCAGAAAACCCAGCCTTTAAGCTTCCCATGCTGACATGATGCAATCGGGGTAACCAGACAACATGAGGCATCAAGTACCAGGGTGAGTCAGTCTGGGAAATTGTATAATGCATTTGTTTTCCTGTAGTTACAGCAATGTGCAAACAATAGGCCTGGAGGGGAAGCCTGAAGTGAGAGAGATCAAAGGGACCCACTAAAGGGAAGTGTCCTTCACACACACACACTTGGAACATTTGGACCCCAAAAAAGCCCCAGGTCAGATGCTCTTTGGAAAAGTTCAAGCACTCCTGGATTAGCACTTTCCACTCTGGCCCACCAGCAGTGGCCAGGGATGGGACGCAAAACCTGACTGGTGTTGCAAGCAGAGGCTCCTGAGATTGACTCCTGTTCCAATGAAAAGAAACCTCTTGTTCTTTTAAAAAGAACAGCCTCCCTTTAAGCAGAAAGCCCTGCTCTCCAAAGAGGGCAAACAGTGTTAAATCACCAGCTCATAGACAGCAAGCCCTTGAGATACCATTGTTGGACAAGACATGGTAAACAAAGCAAAGAAATGTTATTCTGCTTAGACTTAAACAATATGTGCTCTGAGGGCTCACATCTAATGACTTGCCATAGGAGATAGTGCTAGTTAAGTCTAACTGATGTGGCTGGTTTGGGTTTTAGCTTTGAGATAAAGATCTAAGCACAAAGAGAAAAAGTTTCTGGCGCACATCTCACTGTGGTACCCTACCTACCAACTGTACTCATAGAGTGTTCTTGGAGCAATGTGAATAATGGCTCTGCAACAAGGAGGCAGAAAAGCCCTTTGATTCCTTGGCCCTGCATTCAGTCCTTTCGTTTAAGAACTTCAGTGCACGTAAGAAACTGTACCAAGCCTTTTACCAGAGTGAGGGATAGGAAAGGCACATGATACTCCTTTTACAGAAAATTAAGCTGGGACATGGAAATGTTAATGCCTAGATTAGAGTTACACAAATTATGAAATCTGGATCCAGACCACAAGTATGTTTTGTTGAGACCACATCAAAATGGCTCAGCGTTCAAAGTAGTGACATCAGCGGGAGTGTCAGAGCTTTTAGCAATGATAAAACACGGGGCTTTCAGCTCAGTTTTCTCAAGCATCAGGCTGTCAGTGGAGTCTGAGATGAGGACAGGAGGTTGGCACTTGTCTACTGATGGCTTTGGTAGTGTCTGGCAGCAGATGCCAGAAAAGAGAGTCATCTCCCGTTGGAAAGCACTCCCAAAAATTTGTCTACAGGTCATATAACTGCTGTGTGGTCTGTGAAACTTCCTTAGTGAACTTGTTTTCTGGACTCAAGGGTGAGTAACAAGCATTGCAAAGTGAGGGTGGCTGGGCAGGATGCATGTGAGATCGTGTCTGGAAAGCAGCTGGAGTTATAGAGGTGGAAGGGCTGGAGCTGCCAAAGGGCTGTAGAGGGCTGGTGGCAGGAATGCAGTTAAGAAAAGAGATCACAGGTGTTTAGTGGAAGGGAAAAGGACTGGAAGAAGTGGGGATGAGGGGAGAAATAAGGGAAGACAAAATACAGAAAAGACGAGTAGAGTATCCTGGAAGGAAATAGTAAGGAAGAGTTACCATGTTGCAACATGGTAAAATAAGAGATTAACAACCATGAAGCTTCATGAAAATAGTATGTATGGGCTCTTTGCCTTTTTGTTGGGGTACTTTTTCAATCTCTCGGATGCTGTTTGGTTTGAAGCCATAAACACTAGAAACACATCCAGAGGTGAGAAGTGCAGTATCTCCCTTAATCACCTGCCTTGATGATTTGAGGCACGAGGAGAACACGGGCTAGGAAGAGAGATTCAGTGAAAACATGAAAGTTGGCAATTATGTAATAGCAAGAGAACAGGAGATGAAACTGTATTTATAGGCTATAGTGCTGTGAAGTCTACACTGCTTTAGGACAGTTCTCTTGCCAAACAGTCCCTGCTTTAGCGTCTGTTTTCTTCACTGGCTTTCCCCATCCCCCTCATCAGCCCTGTTATTTTAAGCTGCTGGTTGACAAGTGGTAGTAAATACTAATGAGCACTTCCAAGTGGGATAAAAATAAATGAGAAGAAGGACAGGCAGCAGCAGCAAAGGCGACTCAGCAATTTTCACTGCACTGCAAGACAAGGTGATTTCTGTGACATGCCAGCACTCTGGGTTGGGAGAAGCTTTGGAGTCCTGGCTCACCTGGCCAGGTCCTGGCAGCAGCCAGGCCAGGGCCACTGCCAGCAGGTCCTGCAGTCCCCTGCCTGTGTCAGGTAATCCACCAGCCCAAAGAGCACACTGAGGCTATCCAGTAGCTGTGCTGCTTGAATCCCTACCCAATAGTTTGAGGAATTATAGATATAACAGTTTTTTAAACAATAACCACACAGTGACACCTTGCAATAGATTTTGAACAGCTTTACGAATAGACAGTCAACCCTCCTGCTTCTGTTTTAAAGTGGGAAACACTTGAGGCATGGATATGTTGAATGTCTTATTGATTCAGCATGCAAACCACATCCTCTAAACCAGGAGCATAATCCTGTCCTCTTGCTGGGTATTCTAACCATAGAGAGGCTGTTTAGGTCACAGGCATGGTGCAAGTTTTCCAACAGGCAGCCCAAGGACAGAGTTAGGCATGGGGAGTTAGGCAATTCATGACCAGGTTTGAGCAGGTGGAGGGAGGAGAAGGCAGAGAGGGCATCCTGGGAGGGTTAGAAGACATCTGTTTGGATTAAAAACCTGCAGTGTCCAGATTTCAGTTTGCTCGGTGTCATTGCTTAAAGTCAGCTGCAGCTGTACAAAGACAAGCTTAGGAAAATATTTTTCAGACTTTCCTACTTTGAGAGGGCCCCAGGATCTCCCTGGGCCTCTCCCTGGCACGTTTGCAACACCCTCTGTACACAGAC